GGACTGTGGGGTTCAAAGATTCTTGAACCATTTCAGTGTGTCTTTACACTCTAAGTTAATTTAAACAAATAAAAGTTCATGGAGTTGGTACTTTACGAATAAAGCCACATCCATATGAAGAATTTATTTATCACTGAACAGGGTTGTATGTTCTAGTAGGCAGTCAAAATAAATAATAACATGACTAATTTAAATAAAACTTCGTGCATCTGACTACTATCAAATAAATTCTCGTTACTATAAATATTGAATCATAAACTAGACTATTCTATCGTTCTTTGTTCTATTCCAACAGCCCGAATACAGAATAAAAGAAGATTAGTTAAATTTGTCTTTGGATTAAGTTAATGTTAGTAATTAATATTAAAATCATTTGACAAGACAATAGATCTTGCTCAGTTGTCTTTTAGTAGTAAAATACCAAGAAACTACTTGAGAATAATTTAATAATGTCAGGTATAGCCATTAAAAGAAATATTTCTGTGATTTTGGACTACTCATTAGTAGTCTATTTTCTATTTTGAGATGTATCAACATTTATAAACGTTACATTTGACCACATATTGATGGATTAAAACAAAATTGTCTAGTCATAATTAAAATACTTTAACTCAACTGTAATTGTTAAATCTTGAGTGAGGAATCTAAAATTCTATATAATCTATCCAAAGAACATTTTTAATAATTAAAATATATCAAAGAGAATAATATCACTTTATTAACTCTTTCTGATATAAAAATTACAGGGGTAATATTACTGGATTGACAGTGTTATGTAGATGAAGTGAAGAATATTTTGTCTGACATTAGAAAAATGTCAACATTTTGTACAAAGAAATAATAGGATAGAAATAAGAACTGCAGGAGAACTTTAGGACGCTTGAAAATAGTGTAAACTAGGTTCAGAATCACACTCGAAAATTCCTAAAAACTGAGATATTCTAGTTACATGGTACTCTGTTTGCACTACCTACATAAGTCATATGAGCACATAGTACCTGTTGTGTCTTTATGTTCGGTTAGTTTTTGGGTGATTTTATCCACCAATCAGAATACGATTTATACAATCTTAGCACTGTGCCAAACCAATGACGTTCGACCGGTATGAGCAGCCTAGCTTCCTTATTAGTCCTATGTTCACCTAGCACGTCCAGTTGAGTTCAGAACACCAATACCAGCTTCCACTATGCGATTCGAATCGAATAATTTATTTCAGACATACTGGGTTTATATATCAAAAAACAGACCGCAACGCACTATAAAATAGGAAATAACATTGGTCACAATAAAGCCAAAAGTGACTATGAATGTGGGAGGCAGTAGTCAATAAACTGAACATAGCTTAAGAATCGTAAATCGTACAATAATAAATTATAGGTCAAAATAAAACTTATAATAAGAGGGATATAGATATACATAATCTAGTTACTGAATATTTATACCATGAGAATATATAAATAATATTAGTCCATTAATAGGTCTCAGACGTTACTCGTAATGTAATCCTCGCTAGGATATAACAGTACCCCCTCATTCCATTTCAGATGTGTCTAGATCACCATGTCATTTAAATTTTAGGATAATTCCAAAGAAAAGAGGTGACTATTTCAACTGTTTTGAACACAGCGTACACTATGTTTCGATATTAGGCGATAGAACGCAATCGACAGAAAACTTTGAACCTAGGTTTCATGCATAACACTCGTTATTACTTAAATTTCAATTGATGTGCTTACCTCAGTACTACAGGTGTCTGTCGCTACTAGAATTACTCAGTGGAAATGTCCCGAAGTGTGACACTGATTATCATAGGTAAGAGAATCTGTTCCATTAATACTACAAGTGTGACTTGATGATAAGTTTCAGTTAACGCTAAACCTAGGTTTATAGTTTTCTTTTAATTGCCAGCAATCATCTGACAATTTAATAATGTGAATTTTAACAACAATGTTAAATAATCACAGTCTAACTGTGAATGTCAGTAGTACACCTGACTGAGAAGTATTGATAAGCAATTTATCACAGTTGACGTCTTCTCATCAATCCTTAACAATTAACAAATATTGAGACATAATAAACTTCCGGATATTTTCTTAACAACAGTACTGAAAATGAAGAACTTGATTTTGTTTGAAATAAGAATGACTGTGCATAAGCTAATTATTTACACAAGGCTCACCATCATATTAATTCAGTATTATTAATATACATTTTTTGTATTCTAAAATTATTGTGTACATGACATCGATAATGAATATTCTCGATAAACGCTCCACCATAGATTAGAAGAAAAAAATTCAGTATACCAAGCTGAAAGAAGTGTATTGCCTAGTTGAATACCAATTCAATATAGTGCAGAATTCTATATCTCCATAAAATAAATCTCAATGATGTTTTCACCGGACTTATTTTCTTTGAAGATCTTCATTTCAACCATACAATGTAATACGGTAAAATCACAGTTAAAACAAGTAAACACTTAGTCTTTAACAATTCATCTTTGCATGGAACGCAAATGAGTGTAATTAGTGAAAAAATTTAAAGGGAATATACTCGGTCAAAGAGAAGGAGGCTCGAAACACATATAGGCACATACTGAACAGTATTAAAATGTTCAGAACAATTGATTGACTATGAATAACACATATAAATAAAAAGAGTACAACTGAATGAAAAAACGAGACATCAAGGTCAGATTGCACCAATGTGAAGGGCGTTTAAACTAAATTATTACTGTTCATTTTAATTATGGACATAACTAACAGTTATAACATGTTAAAACAAAATGGAAATATTTAATTGTAGAACCCAAATAGGTTATTTCAACTCCTATTGATGTTAATTGGGTAAAATTTGGTATAACCTTATGAAACCTTATTTGTATACGCCTAATTCGTTAAAAAAATCAATTCGATTTACCTCAAAATTTCTTATCATTTAGAAACAGTTTAAAGTTCCAACAAACGATATGAATAGTAGCAAATACTTGTAATGATATGACAAAAATTTAAAAAACCGACTAGTAAGTCAGCAATGTATGGCACAAATCATGATATTGTCCATTCTAGTTGATGAGGAACTATAAAATAAAATGCACATACTTAATTTTTTTTTAAAATCTTTTTATTCTGTACACAAGAACTTGTTAAATACTTGGGCCACAGAACTATAATTTTTCTGAAAGTGTGGAGAATATTTGTAGCTCAGGATGAGGATAGTGGAGGCGTTATGTTGGCTGAGCTGGATGATTTAGTAGTGAAGCGTTTATTGTTCATTATCAGAAGGGGATTTTGTGAAGATTTTAGAAAATTAATAGTTGAATTCATGAGTCAATTGAAGCTAGACCACCATTGGAACCTGAAAGCACTGGACGGCCGTTTCATCCTAGTATGGGACTCCTCAGAAGTGCATATCCACGATTGTTCCTCTAAAGGACGTCAGATCAGCACATAATCCAGAGGGAAATCTCTTGTATTTTTAATGTCGTAATAGAAATATTTGATGAATTGAAATCTTAATTTATTTTATTCTCTTATAATCATTAATTTCTTATACATTATTTCTTTACATGGCATTATATATTGGTTTTGTTTACATCTTGCTTTCAATCTAACCCATTTCGGAAGTTTTGAACATGAGATTTATTTCATTTCACATGTACGTTATTAGCATTTGTCTTAAATATGAAAAAAAATTGAACCGATTTCATTTACTGACAGTTCCTTTTGTCTTTTCAAGAGATAAGAAACAAGGAGATAAGAATGTTAAATGAAGGATATCCGGCTTATACAAATACTTGTTTATAATTACATAATGGTTGGTGGGGGTTGAAATTTATAAAATATATATGTATCGATGTTTTTCATCCCATGTTTGATAGAAATTAGGTTGCTCATTTGCATAAATTCAATGAGACATATGAAGATGTATATACCAGTACACAGAAAGTTTTGAAAGAGGATATAAGAAAAAAGAAATATTATGAGGCAAAAATAATATTCAAAGAAATATATTCATTCTTGTAGAGCTTCAAATTATTCCAAAAATGTTTAAATGGTCAAACAATGGTAGTTATCTTTGTTTAAGATCAATCTATTTTTAACTAAATATATTTTTCTTTTCATTTATGTGGTTTTGTTGTTTATATTGAAGGATAGTTCTGTGATCGATAGTTGTCATTCAAGATTACAAGTGGGATCTATTCTCAATAAATTAAGGTTAAATAGAAAACTAAACGAATGTTGTAGAAATTATCATAATAATTATAGATTAGCAGGAAAACATAACAGAAAAGATTGTTATTGTGTTATTTTGTGTTGAATATAACTTCGATTTTTCGTCTTATGAAAGACACTAATCCTAATTTTAGTGTAATTAGTATATCACCATCATTAGGAAGTTTCGAAATGATTCGTAAATTTCTAACACAAAAAACGATGGAATATGAATCCAAACTACTGGCAAGCATCACTAATATTTCTGCAATTTGGTGTCAATTTATCCTAGTTTTCATTATAGTCAATTTGACTGGTACCAACTTCTCAAGTCTTGATAATTTATTAAATAATAACGAAACGACCGTCCAGTGCTTCCAGGTTTTCCATGGTGGTCTAGCTTTAATTGACTCATGATCTCAACTATTAATATCAATATAATTTTACTGAAAACACCAAGTATAAGGATACTGAATCTCTAACTTTACATATACCAGTACAGACACTGCGACTCGTAAATGTGTCTTATCATTAAACAAAGAGAACTTGTTACTAATTCCAACCATCCGATTTATCTATTTTTATTATCTATTCTGTAATCAATTCATTTAAGTAAAAATTAACCAAGTTTTATCAAATATTCACAAAACAGAAATAAAATAAAATAAAACAAAGATCATGTTTGAATTTTAAGATTCATTAGATAAGTAAATAATAATTGGCAATGTTTCTGTCATTGCCAAAAGAAAACTAGTTCAATGATGATTTTATATAACAAAGCGTAAATTATCTTCTTCCAGCAAGCTGAAGAAATTCATCACGTAATTTAGCATTGTCTTTTAAATCACCCATCATAGTTGTTGTTATTGTGGTTGAATTGATCTTTTGTACACCACGCATAACCATACACATATGTGTAGCTTCAATTATTACACCAACACCTTTAGGATTTATTGCTTCTGTCAATGCTGTAGCAATTTCCTTAGTAAGTCTTTCTTGTACTTGTAATCTACGAGAAAATATTTCAACAATACGAGCTAGTTTACTTAAACCTAGAATTTTTTTATTTGGTAAATAACCAATTGAAACACGTCCAATAAATGGTATCATATGATGTTCACACATTGAAAACATTTCAATATCTTTAACTAATACCAATTCATCATGATTTTCTTCAAATATAGCTTCATTCAGTATATCACTGACACGTTCTTCATAACCTTTAGTAAAATATAACATAGATTTAGCAGCTCTTTGTGGTGTTTTTAACAAACCTTGACGATTTGGATTTTCACCGACAGCAATTAAGATTTTATGAAATGCTGAAATTAAATCCGTATAATGATCATTTATACCTTCTGTAATAATACTGGCAGTATCTGATACACCTAGCATACTACCACCTAACGTCAAAAAATTTCGAGGATAATCTCTTTGCATATCCCATAAAGATATTTGACTTTGTTTACGACTTGACTGTAAACTTAAACATTCTAAATGAGTAGTTGGTTTTATATTTAATTGTGATTTAGATAATAAGGATTGTTCATGATTATTAGTATTGTTCAATTTTGAATTTTTATTTTTATAATAACGATTATTGTTTTTATTTCTAATATTGTTTGATTGGATTGATAAACGTGGTTCATAATTTTCACATCTAACACTGAAACTAGATGATCGTTCTCTTGGTGATATATTATCATGAGATGTATTTAATAAGTTGTTAAATTTAAAAGTGTTCATATGATTTCCATCTTGTCAGCATTGATATTACTGCCATGAGTCACAGTACTATCAATAATAGTAGTAGTAGTAATATTAGTAGATGTAGTGGTAATTGGATTATTTGTTTTTGTTGTTGTTTTAGCATTCTGAGTACTGTTATTTCTTTTTAAACCACCGGTAAATGTTTCACGTGTAAAATGAAATCTTTTTTTCAATAATTGATAACCTTTAATTGGACGTTTAGGTGGTTCATTAATTAAACTCACTCCAGATGATTCTACTAAATTTGAAGTATCAACAAAATCTGAATCATTTAATAAATGTTTCAATGTTAACTTTTCATTGAGTTCTCGTTCAAGATTAACGGTAGTTTCATTAATTTCATCATCATTTTTAAGAATTAAATAGGATGCATTCATTTCTTTTGATGACATTGTCATCTTGGTATTTATAGGTAATGATGAATGGGATTGGTGTTTGATTTTATTTTCATTCATATTTAACACATGAAATACTGAATATCGTAACATGTGTAATGTGTGTACATATGTAGTTTTCTTTTTGTAATAATTTAATGCAATAATCTGAAATTTTAATGAGTATAAACAAAGATTAGAAGTTTAAAACGAATTATATTCACTAATTGAATTTATTATTCAGTTTATCTATATATTATTACAAGAACGTGTGTATCATGATTATCCGAACTAATTAAGTTCACTTTGTCACAATGATTTATTTTTTCTTAATAACGAAGCGAACGAAACCTATAAGTAAAAACAGAATATTGACTAGAGAAGTTCTTAAATAAAAATTTGAATTTATAAACAAAGATGGATAGTGGCTTGCAGTGGATATCGTGACGAGCATTTTGTCCTATTTGGAACTCGTCAGCTGGGTGTACTTGCATCACAGAATTCTATATTGTACCAAAATATAATATTGAATAAAGACATTAATAATATTAATAATAATAATAGATATTTACTCAGTAACTCGAACCCAGTACCGTTCGCTTAAAACTTATTTACTTACTTAAGTCTCTTACTCCTCGTGAAGGAACATACGCCACCCACCAGCATTCTCCATACAACCATGTTCTGCTCAATACTTTACAATTCTTTCCAGTTCTCATTCATCCGATTCATTTCTCCTTCTATTTCCCCACGAAATGTGTTCTTTAACCTCCCTCTCTTACACTTCTCTTCACGATTCCAAGTTACGGCTCGCATCGTGATGCAGTTTGGTGATTTGCCTAATCTATGTCCTATCCATTTCAATCGTCTTTTCATAAGTTCCTCATCATCTAAAAGTTGGTCTGTTCTCTCACACAGAAGGCTGTTACTGATGATATCCAACCAATCGATGTTGAGTATCTTGTGTAGACAACTATTTATAAATAATTATACCTTCTTGATGATGGTTGTAGTAGTTCTCCATGTTTCAGCTCCGTGCATTGGTTCAAGGTCAAAACGAGTCATGCATTAATGAATTTTACAATGTTATATATTAAAAATGGTGAACGTTTGCATCTGTTACGACATAAATATTGCAAAATTATGTTGTGCACTTTTTTCTACTCACGATTCTTTCTTTTTGTTATACTACTATTATATTGATTGTGACTTGACACTTAACTCCAAATCATTTTGACCTTTGTTAAATGACTTTTCGAATATGTAAATAACACAATTTTGAAATATATGTGTCGTAACAGATAAAAACGTTCACCTTTTTTTATCTTCTTGATGATGGTTTTCGTAGTTTTCCAAGTTTACGCCCCTTACAGTAGAACTGCCTTCAAGTTTGTTTTGAAGATTCTGACTTTGATATTGGTTGAAAGTTGCTTTGAGTTTCATATGTTCTTCACTTGCAGGAATGAGGCCCTTGCTTTGCCGATCCTTGCCTTTACGTCTGCATCTGATTCCTCCTTGTTCATCAATGATGATTCCCAGGTATGTGAAGGATTCTACATCTTCCAGAGTTTCGCCATCAAGTGTGATTGGATTACCGTTCTCCTTGTTGTATTTGAGAACCTTGGTTTTCCCCTTGTTTATGTTGAGGCTTACTGATGCAGAGACTGTTACTACACTGGCTGTCTCTATCTGCATTTGTTCACGTGTATTGGACAGAAGAGCTAGGACATCTGCGAAGTCCAAATCGTCTAATTGGTTCTGAGCTGTCCATTGTATTCCGTGTTTTCCCTCAGTTGTCGAGGTCTTCATAATCAGATCGACCACCAGAAGAAAGAGGGAGGGAGAGAGTAGACAGACTTGTCTGACTCCAGTCCTTACGTGGAATGCATTTGTCAGCTGTCCTCCATGCACGAATTAGTACTATAGTCCGTCGTATGAGTTCCGAATAATGTCGGCAATCTTCTCAGGAATCCCATAGTGTCGAAGAAGTTTCCATAATGTTCTTCTATCCACACTGTCAAACGCCTTTTCATAATCAATGAAGTTGATTTATAGTGACGAGTTCCACTAAACTGATTGTTCGACGATGATCCGTAGTATCGTAATTTGGTCTCTGCGTTTGCTTAGCTACTGAGTCCTGATAGCTACTTGCTTGTAAACAATACCAAGTGAATTTAAAATTTGGATTTATTATGATTAATAAAGTCTGGTTTTATTTAGTAAAAATGAATATTGACTAAAAGGCTCTTCCGATTAGGAAACCTTACAAAATGGCCGAAATTATTGATAATTAATTTTAAATAGTTATAAAGCACTCTATTCATTTGTTTTTTCAGGAATTTCCAAGCCAAAATAAATGTATTCACATTCAAGTGTATTGTGATTAAAAGGGATTCAAACTACTCCTTTCATTTAGTTTCAAGATGAATTCATACTTTTCACTGGAATTGGATCGGGTTTTTGAGAACTGATAATTTATGATAGTTAACATTGGCTGGTTATTTAAATGAAGATAGTTATCCATTCACGATAATGAAAAGCAACGTTTGGGGATGATCAAATTTTACCGCGAATCGATGTAGCTTGGAAGTGCGAAGCATCCGATGCCAGCTCAGCCGTCAAAAAGTAATAGGCTAATCACAAGACGTTAAAGTTCTGGCCTTAATTTTTGACTATGTCTTTAGTAAACACCATTGAGAAATCTCATAGTTACACAAAATAGATGTCCACTTCACTCTAATTCTTAACGGGACTCCGAATGATATCAGTCAATCAGTGGTTATGTAGACTTAAAAAAAAAAACATTTTAATTACATTATTCACTTTAATTATACTCCACATAGAGTATTTACACTGTTGAAGTGTGAACCTCTAAGATCTCTACTTCGAAATTGATTAAACAGATTTTTAGTGTCCGCATAATCATAAAATGACTTATAAAATTGCGTTGACTAAACCATCCGTACATTTCTGATATGAATATTTTGTCCGGAATAACTCCCAACTACATTTCGATAGCAGGGTACCAAAACTACTTTATCCCCCAGCTCCAAATACTCTTAAAATAAATTTTATGTGGAAGATTTATCTGATACAGACAAAACAAGATCGATTCATACTTGAATTCAGTCCATTATGAGAAAAATTGCATTCATTAATCACTAGTTGGAGAATTATTTTAAACTGCACACATATTACATGAACGATGGATCATACTGAATTAATTCATGTAAATGAAAGTGTAATGAAATTTAATTAAAGTCATTTGAAATCAGTTTATCATCTTACGATCTATTTCCTCATAGTACATTTCAGGATATTAGGAGGATTTGAAGATTTAACATTCCCGATAACTTTATCATCAAACGAAAGGAGTTATTATGCCAGAATCATATTATTTGTTGATAGGATATATTTAAAATCAATAATGAATTCAGCAGTTTAAAAATCCCCATAGAATATTAAGAAAAGAAGAATGTTTGAGTGAACAATTGTTTTCAATAAATTCATCATCTGACTCTACAATTATAAGTCCATAATTATTGTGATATTTAACAAAGGCCAAAATAAGCCATGTATTTGACATGAATTTTACAATGTTATTTGTTAAAATAAGGTGAACGTTTTTATCTGTTACGACACATATATTTCAAAATTGTGTTATTTACATATTCGAAAAGTCATTTAACAAAGGTCAAAATGATTTGGAGTTAAGTGTCAAGTCACAATCAATATAATAGTAGTATAACAAAAAGAAAGAATCGTGAGTAGAAAAAAGTGCACAACATAATTTTGCAATATTTATGTCGTAACAGATGCAAACGTTCACCATTTTTAATATATAACATTGTAAAATTCATTAATGCATGACTCGTTTTGACCTTGAACCAATGCACGGAGCTGAAACATGGAGAACTACTACAACCATCATCAAGAAGGTATAATTATTTATAAATAGTTGTCTACACAAGATACTCAACATCGATTGGTTGGATATCATCAGTAACAGCCTTCTGTGTGAGAGAACAGACCAACTTTTAGATGATGAGGAACTTATGAAAAGACGATTGAAATGGATAGGACATAGATTAGGCAAATCACCAAACTGCATCACGATGCGAGCCGTAACTTGGAATCGTGAAGAGAAGTGTAAGAGAGGGAGGTTAAAGAACACATTTCGTGGGGAAATAGAAGGAGAAATGAATCGGATGAATGAGAACTGGAAAGAATTGTAAAGTATTGAGCAGAACATGGTTGTATGGAGAATGCTGGTGGGTGGCGTATGTTCCTTCACGAGGAGCAACAGGCGTAAGTAAGTAAGTTATGTTTGTTTGATCATCTCTGTAATGAATTCAATAAAATAATAACAAGTATATTTCAACTCATTCTAGCCTGAGTCCTAATTTACCTTTTCCCTATAAATTAATTCATCGTTCTTAAACAGTTACCATTAAATATTATGAATATAACGATATATTTAAAGTTACTAGAATTTAATTACATTTCTGAACATTATGAAAGTACTAAATAACTCACCGATAAAACTATATATGAATCTTTGTTATTTGTTATTAATTGTCGAATTAGAAATGACTGAACTATGTTAGTAGTTTGGATTTTTCATTGAACTCTACATATTTTATCAAACTAGCATAACAAGTGGCTTTAGTTTGATTGGCTACTGATTTATCTTAAATGTTATTATTATTATTAGTAGTAGTATTAGTAGTATAAATCCTATAACTCAATATTCACCCACTCATTCACTTGTTCCTTCATTCATTCATTCATTCATTCATTTATTCGTTGATTTTGAGGAGAAGAGAAATAATTAATGACATAAACCAATCTGATTTGACAAGCATCTTTAAACGAAAAACTGATAAATGAAGATAATTCAATGGGTTTTTTCCTAGTTTTTACTTATTCTTCGAGTTAAATCTTATTGCAAATGAGATATAACTCTTCTGTGTAATTTTAATGACTGCATAAATAAGTAAATTTTCTATCCGATCAACTGAAATATATGATTAATTAATTCACAAGTCACATTTTGTAACAATTAAGGAGTTCCACAGTAGGACGAAACGACTGTCCAGTTCTTTCAGATGTTCCATGGTGGTCTAAGTCCATAAAAACCCCTTCTGAAATTAAGTGTATATTTAAAACTATTGTTCAGTCGTCTTCATGAATAATATTCAAAACAATATTCACTAAAATTACACGAAGAAGGTCAGTAGAATGAAGTGTGGTGTGTGCTACTGATGTGTGGGCTGGAATGATAATGATTAGTTGTATGCTTAGTCAGACAAATAGATAGTCTGACAGGTGTCAGATGAGTTATATATTCCCCTATCCTTATAATAATTATTATTGATTGGTCATTATTGTTGGATTGCGTCGGTTTTTGGTGTGAAAATATATTTACGTTCTGGTCAGGCTAATCATGTGTTCTTGATCTGAGTTGTGTTGGAGTCCTGTAGAATAGACACTGGGAGGGCATCTAGTGTAGATATTCGTCTAAGGTAAATTAACATCTCATACGTGTAAAACGTAGAACATTAGATGACGTAAAACTGAGCGTTATAACAGTTGACGACGGGGTGAAAATCAAAGAACCAAGGGTACAAAACCACAAGTTATAACAGCTACTGACATCGACAGATATAAGTAGTATGCATCATCAATCGAAAGTGAAATACCTGGAGGCAGAAGGTTAAAAAGATCAAAGAAAAGAGAACAAGAGCAAAGACGGATTGTTGGGGAAACGAAAGAACAATGACTTCTGGAATGATTGGTTAACATTTTGCAAATGCAGTATTTACCGTATGGGTCTCAGATTTTACTAATATGTTCTGTAATTTTGTATTCAAATACATTCGATTGTCCCTACTTGTGTTGTCGTTCACTACCGAGGGAATCAGAATTTTGCTTTTCTATACCCTGGATTCTCTACTATTTTACTTGAATGAATCTGAATAAAATTGAAGCTGAGAGGTTAGAAGTTTGTAGTTTGCTTACTATTTGTAAATCATTTCTAATAAGTCTGCTTTAGTCACCTACTTTTGGTATCCAATAGTTAATTAAGGAACGTATTTGCCGTCTCTTGATGAGTTATTTTAGAGAAAATAACTTTATGGAGTATTTAGGACCCTTTAGATTGGTAATGAAAAGTCTCTTACTTTCAGGATGTGGAAATGATGTACCATTAATATGAATCCACACAAGATGTTTAATTATGGCGATATAAAGTGTGTTCTCAGAATAAATCGATGAACATTCAATTATTTCCCTTTTATTAAAGCTAAAACTCAAATATATCATGGTACTTTTGTGTGTTGGATAATAGACATTTGTATTATATGTAGATCTTTAAACAGTTGTGCATGGCTAGCAGTGGAATCTGGGTCGTACAATTCAGTTTAGAATTCATCAGTTGGTTTTACCTATATCCCAGTATTGTTTGCACGGAGACTCAGTCCATCAGTCTAGCTCTTCAAATACTATCACGTAATCGACTAGGCTACGAAATACAGAAAATCGCTAAATTGTTAGATAGGCATATTGGTATTAGTGAGGGTTTGCGATTAGGTATTTTTGATGCAAATGGTTACTTATAAATTGGAATACAATAATTAAATAGTTATATACGTTAACTCATTGAAGATTGTATAGATAATATTAGATTTATTTTTACAGCAGAAGTAAACTGACCTGTACTCCTGTAAATCAATTTTTGTATCGAACTTATGTATCATACTGCAGTTTCGATGAAATCACATTCTTTCAAAAACTGATAACTTTAATAAATAGTTAACTTTTTAAAGTTTGTTTGTTACTCACCTACATACTGTATATAAATAAAGCCAGAACAAACATTGGTGCAGAATAATATGAATTCATTATACTGTATGAAGTACAAATGAAGTAGAAATGAATACGAATTACACTACACTGACTGTTCACATATGTTTTTAATGGGTATTTTTAAAGATATTATATAACTCCTGACTATGCCTAATCTATGAAAAATAACGATCAATTTATACCTTTTCTAGAGAAAGTAGTAGAAAAGAACTGAAGGACACACCTACAATTGTTTAGTCAATTTATGGTGACTAATTTCATATTTGTCTAGTCTTTAGTGATGATTGAATTATATCGATCAAGTTGCAATGTAGTCACCAGTTTAGTGTTGAGGGCACTTACGTTTCCTGATGGACTTGGGTTATCCACTTCACCGAGCTTTTCGAGTTGAGAAATTCTTCCTGTAGGACAAAGATCGTTACAACCGACTGGTCGATGAAATTTGACTATATATATATATATATATATATATATATATAATATATTATTATATTTATATATATATATATATATAATATAAGATGAAATGCGCATCTCGGATTCTATTCCAGAAAATTAAATAGTGTGATGATCGTACGTTCACTGATTGTGACTGAAAAGTTGATGAATTCAATACACATGCTATAAAATCATGATTTTTTTAAACCAAATATCTATAATAGTGATCAAATGATTTATGAAATTCGTTGAATGAATATGAAAATATTTGTTTGAGAGTAAGCGGAAGTTACTTTGGAAGTGTCTAATTAACACTGGTCCATATTCATATGATCCTTTTTTTCAGTTTGGATGTCTTTTATTACACAAACAAAGTTAATTGTCTTGAATACCATGTTATTTGGAGGTGGTGACTGAAAATATAGCAGAATTTAACTTACTACTAAAAGATGCTAGTAGGTAAATTATACACATATAAATAGTACTTTCACACTGGAAGCACTACTTCGAAATGAATTGATTTCATGTAAGTAGATGTCGGCTATAAAGAAAGTAAAGGACACGGTTCACTTACTGCTGAAGATTACTCAGGAGTATTTATGCCACATTGTAAGTAGGTGAAAACAGGTAGTAACTTCTAATAAATAATACTTCTAACTACAATGAAACTATCGATTGTTAGATGGCCTACTATTTCTTATAAAGTCCTACATTTAGAACACTTTAATTTACTTGTAATGTAAGAGTATAGCCTCTTAAAACTAGTTTCAACTTTACGTCATTACGTGTTTGAAGGAAACTCAGAATACTTTTCATGACGGACTTAATAAATTATTTACACGAATGGATTTTTGTAATCTCAAGATAGGCAAGCACCTAATACGGTGTTATATCTTCAAAAAGAATAAGTTCCTGTATTGTGTTAAGGCCCCTGTGTTCACGCCGTCATCATAGAAGCAATAGCTTTGTCTGGTCCAACTATAAACCAATTTTTCCCATGAAATAAGACTGACGACCTTCTGTTGTAACAGTTGCCCAGTGACTGATGAACAATTACTGAGAATTTAACATCTATTGCTGCTAATGCCGGTTGACATCTCATTGGTTTAGCACAGATGAAGTAAACGAGAACAGAAGTACGAAAAAACCGAATGTATTTGAATACAAAATTACAGAACATATTAGTAAAATCGGAGACCCATACGGTAAATACTGCATTTGCAAAATGTTAACCAATCATTCCAGAAGTCACTGTTCTTTCGTTTCCCCACCAATCCTTCTTTGTTCTTGTTCTCTTTTCTTTGATCTTTTTAACCTTCTGCCTCCAGGTATTTCACTTTCGATTGATGATGCATACTACTAATATCTGTCGATGTCAGTAGCACATACCACACAGGGACAAGGTCATGAGAGTCAGCATTCTGATTGGTGAGTTCTTGTCACGTGATATTTGAATGGCCATAGGACATAACAATCATGATGGTTTACTTGCTAGATCTTCATTATTGGACAGATTGTGAAACTTGATCACACGTATGGCTCTCCAGTAATTTGTATTTATTAACTTGAAAACTTAATAAACTCTCTGGAAGAGAGTACTAGGAATTGGCATCAAGTTCACCCAGGCTATAGAAGAGTTCATAACATTGTTTAAAAGATATATTTGGAGTTATGATCTGATAACAATCCCAACAAGCTCTATCAGAAGCGCTTTTTTGAACATAAGTAATTTTCGTCAGTATATCAGAGATCATAAGTATACCAGGACATTCTTATCAGTATTCAGCGCATATGGAATATATGCCTTTTAGAGAACACTCTTGAGGATAATGAAAAATATTTTACTGTGACTTAGAAACAAAGAATAATAGATATTTTCAATTATCGAGAAACGATTTCAATGTCAATTCATTCTTACTAGAGTAAGTGAAGTGGTTAAATGTCCATTAAAATTCATGTCGACTTTATTGCTCATGAAACCATGCCGTATTGGAACAAAATTATTTATCTTGTGAGATCATTAAACGATATAAAAATAGTCGTAATTAAGATGGATTAGGTTATTGTTTTTGTATTCTGTCAGCTTCACAACAACTTATCCATTTCAACGGTCGGATATAATAAAAAAAATCATAAACATTACTGAGGCCATAATTTAAACGCTGGTGATCACAACTATGTCAATAATGTAACTGGAGATTCGATTATGTTATTATAATCATCAGAAGAAATGAACTGGAAAAAACTACTAATAGGTTAATTAGCAGTATTTTCCATAACAACAAATTTACAAATGAGAAACAATCAAGATTAAAGGTGAGATTCTACTTCTGGAGGGTTTGA